GTTCCCACGCTCTGCACCCCCTCCTGCTGCAGCAAATGCACCAATATTGCCCGATTTGCTAGAGAAATGGGGTGGAAAACAAGTGCTTCCAAACACCGCTGGCCCCCGCTGAGAAAATTAGGTGCCTTATAATTAACTCGGAGTTCTATTGGCAATAAATATGTAATTATATTTGTACTGCTAGGGGTGGCTTGTGATTACGAACTGCATTTTAGCAGGGGAAATGACTCGGGAAAAGGTCCGTGGGCTTCCTGGTTGACGGATTTGATGGATTTTTCCGGGAATAAATAAAACCGGTGGCCACGGCAGGGCAGGCGGCTCCTGAGCCTCTTTATATCTGGTTTTGAGCAGGTTCCCGCTGCTGCAAATCTCCTTTTCTGGTTGTTTTTGCAGCCAAGGTCAGTGCCGAGCAGGAGCGTCGGCCGGAGGAGGCTCCATAGCCGGGATSCCGGGAAGGAGAAAGGGAGAGCAAAAGGTTTGGGGACGAGCGACCCGGAGGCGGGAAGGAGCCTGGGGAAAGGAGATGCGATTTCCAGCAGCTTCCCTCATTAAAAAGCCCGTTAATTTAGAGATGAGCCGCCTGTCCCAGCTGGTGGCATCCCCAACCCATCTGGCTCCCGAACCAAGGACAGAGGGGTTAATGGGGCTATAAGCACGCGCCGCTCCCGGTCCCTTCCCGAATCCAATCCCGGCGACGCCGGATCAGGACACGTYGGGAAGAGGCAGCGCCAGCAGCAGGAACGGGATTGAGCCCCCTGCTTCCAGGTTGTTCCTTCCTATTTCTCCCGCTCTAGGAAGAGCGGCGGGTGCCGGYGCCGGCTCCGCGTGTGCAAATTCCAGCGGGAAGTGGCGCCGGATCCATGCGGATCAGCTGCGGGCTGACAGGTTAAGTGCACCTTCGGAGAGAAACCGGGAGCGAGGCGGCTGCTTCCCAACACCTGCTCCGGCACCACAAACCAGCATTGGGATAACAGACAGGGATAGAGCCGCGGAGCCGGAGCCCSCTGGGCTCCAACAGCCCCTCCTTGCTCCGCTTTTCCCCCTTTCCTTACAAAATCCCGCCCGGATGAGCCCGGCGTGCTGCAGCTCCGAGGCCGGCGTCCCCTGCCCGGCTGCTCCCCGGGTCAGGGCTGACGCCAGCAGCTAATTTGAGCGCGTAGTTATTAACATTTCAACATGAAACGTGCCCGAAATATTCACCCAGCGTGACGGTGCACTTTAGCAGCGGGGAAGCCTTAAATATTCCAGAGGCGCCTGGCAGCCGCCGCCGCGGGAGGCGGATGGATGTGACTCACGGCAGGGCTCGGATGCGGCCGCTCGCTGCTGCCATCCGGGATCCCCTGGGGTTTCGCCCCCGGCCCCAGGCTCGRAGCAGGGATGGGGAAGCTGCTCCTTGCAGCAATCCCGGCTGCTTCCCAAGCTGTTTTCCTCTCCTAGATCCCTGGATAACGCCCCGGATAACGCCCTGGATAACAGGGCTCCGTGCCCCTCTAGGYGGCCGAAAGCAGCAGTCCCATCTCTTTATTCTGAACGGGAATTTAGGGAGCTCGCGAGCTTGGGAATTTACGGAGTAACCAGAACAGCACCCGACTTAGACCGGGAAAGACGCCGGTTCAATCCCGTTAGAGGAGCAACCCGGAGCGGGGAGAGGAGGAAGAATCCGGTGGGAGCGGCATAAGGCAGCCCCCTAAGGAGCCTTCGCTCCCGGTGTGGGTGAGCGAGGTGCCAAGTGCCATTCCCGATGGGCTCCCGGGTGCCGAGCGCCATTCCCATGTGCCCAATGCGCTCCTGGGTGCCCAGCACCCTTCCCGATGTGCTCCCAGGTGTCGAGTGCCCTTCCCGCATTCCCGGTGCGCTCCTGGGTGTCCAGCGCCNTTCCTGCATTCCCGATGGGCTCCCGGGTGCCCGGCGCCCTTCCCAAAGCGCTCCCAGGTGCCGAGCACCATTCCCGTGTTCCCAACGCGCTCCTGGGTGCCCAGCGCCCTTCCCGATGCGCTCCCGGCCGCCCAGCGCCTTTCCCGCATTCCCGGAGCCCTCCTGGGTGTCCAGTGCCATTCCCGCATTCCCAATGCGCTCCCGTCTGCCCACCGCCCTTCCCGATGCGCTCCTGGCCGCCCGGCACCCTTCCCACATTCCCGCCGCGCTCCCGGATGCCAAGCGCCATTCCCGCCGCGCTCCCGGCCGCCCAGCGCCCTTCCCACGTTCCCGGCCGCCTCAGCTCCTCCTGGGACAGCCGAAGGCCTCCTGGGAGGCGTAGGTGAGGTAGAGGAAGCCGTCTTCATCCCGGTGCTCGCGGTACAGCTCCTGCATGGTGGCCGTGGCGGCGGGCAGCGCSCGCCCGCCCGCCAGCAGGTAGAGGCTCTGCGAGGACGCCAGGCACAGCCGGCTCCTGCCGGGCGGAATCCGGCGTCACTCCGGATTCCGCTCCAAGGGGACCCCCGGGAGCGGCTTCCCCGCTCCGTGCCCCATCCCGGGCACCCCCCAAAGCAGGTGGGGTTTGCAACGCGGCTAATTGCCCCTAATTACCCCCTAATTAGCCCTGTGGGCGGTGGCTCCTTACCGCAGGGTGGCGGCGAGCTGGGAGAGCGGCAGCTCGTGGGACACCAGGAATTTGGGGCGGGGCAGGGGCGGCAGGGTCTGCTCCTTCGGATAGCGCTCCACCACCACCTGCGGCGCGCGGAGAGGCCGAGTGAAGGGAGGCCCCTCAGGGAGGCTGGGCCGAGGGAGGCGCCCTGGGGAGGCCAAGCCATGGAAGGGACCTCGTGGAGGCCGGGCCGAGGGAGGCTGGGCCAAGGGAGGGACCTCATGGAGGCCCCTCGGGGAGGCCGGGCCAAGGGCTCTCCAGGAGGGACCTCGTGGAGGCCAAGCCAAGGGCTCTCCAGGAGGCCCCTTGGGGAGGCCGGGGGCTCTCCAGGAGGGACCTCGTGGTCATTTTTGGGGGGAATAGGTGGGGAACAGCAGGAGAAGCCGCAGGAGCGGCCTCCTTACCGGGATCTTATTGGGGTACTTGATCCGGATCTCCGTCACTTCGTGCATCCTGGCRGCTGCGGAAGGGAAGAGGGATGAGCAGGGCCGGGATGCGGATCCGGCACCGGATCCGGCGCCGAGCCGGACGCACCCAGGCTCTTCCTCTGCTTGAAGGGGCGAGCGCCGCCCTCTCCCCGCTGCATCCTGGCAGCACCCAGAGCTTGGCCTCCATCCCGCCCGGCCTCATTTATCCCGCCGGGAGGAGGAGCGGGCGGCACCTGGGATCGCTCGCAGCTGGGCATGGGAAGCGCCGCTCCCGCAGGTGGGAGCAACCTGCTCCTGGTGACGCTTCCCAGCTCCGGAGGCCGTTCCCATGTCTCCCAGCGGCATTCCCAGCCCCAGAGGTGCTTCCTCCGGAGGATTCCCATCCCTCCCGGTGTTCCCGGCAGCATTCCCAGCCCCAGAGGTGCTTCCTCCGGAGGATTCCCATCCCTCCCGGTGTTCCCGGCAGCATTCCCAGCCCCAGAGGTGCTTCCTCCGGAGGATTCCCATCCCTCCCGGTGTTCCCGGCAGCATTCCCAGCCCCAGAGGTGCTTCCTCCGGAGGATTCCCGTCCCTCCCGGCGTTCCTGACAGCATTCCCAGCCCCAGAGGTGCTTCCTCCGGAGGATTCCCATCCCTCCCGGTGTTCCCGGCAGCATTCCCAGCCCCAGAGGTGCTTCCTCCGGAGGATTCCCGTCCCTCCCGGCGTTCCTGACGGCATTCCCAGCCCCAGAGGTGCTTCCTCCGGAGGATTCCCATCCCTCCTGACATTCCCAGTGGCATTCCCAGCCCCAGAGGTGCTTCCCAAGCCTGACAGCATTCCCAGTTCCAACAGAATCATTGAATCCGAATGGAGCCACGTGGGATGAAGCGGATCCTCCTGCCTGAGAACAGGGCCAGCCATCCCGACGGAGCAGCTTCCCACGACAGSCGGGAATGCCGGGACAGCCCCAGCACAGCAGCATGGCCAAGGACAATCCATCAATCCACGTTTTTTCCCTTTTTTTTTGGTGTTTCATATACATATTTAATATATTTTGCTGTTCTGCCGTATATTAAACTGTATTACTTCGCCATAAAAATTCCCTCCGATCCGCTCATCACTGGCTTGGAAAATTACATTAGCAATATCTCTCCCATCTGGGTAGCGAGTTAGCCCGTTATAAATTTATACCCCTAATAAATGGAATTCTTGCGATTTTGCGTGGGATCCGCGCCRGAGGTTTGCGGAGGGAAGGGGCATTTTTATTCCGGGTGATTTCGGAACAACGCGCTGATAAATATTAATGCGTCTGTTTCCTAATAAAATAAATCGATTACTATTAATTCTCGTCGCAGGCAGGAGCTAATTGCTTTCCTGAGAGCCAAAAAAAAGTCACAAAGTTAAAAAAAAAAAAGGGAAAAAAAGAGAGTCAATCTCCATTTTAAATTAGTTCATTAACAGCGAGCATTTATTATTTATCAGTTTAATTTCCGAATATTGCTGCGATATCGGGCTGGGCTCGTGGTGGAAACCCGGCGCTTTCATTAGCAGCAATTGATTAATTAAAGATGAGGGGAAATGGCTTTTCCGCGTTGGTGGAGGCTTTCCAAGGCTGAGCAGGGAATGGGGCTTGGAAAGGGGCTTGGGATGGGGCTGGTGTCCCCAAAGGAGGATGTTCCAAGGAGGACGTTCCAAGGAGACATTGTGGTGTCCCCCAAGGAGGACATTCCAAGGGGGACATTGTGGTGTCCCCCAAGGAGGACATTCCAAGGAGGACGTTCCAAGGGGGACCTTGTGGTGTCCCCCAAGGAGGACATTCCAAGGAGGACGTTCCAAGGGGGACATTGTGGTGTCCCCCAAGGAGGACATTCCAAGGAGACATTGTGGTGTCCCAAAGGAGGATGTTCC